TAAACCCCTAAACCCCTAAACCCCTAAACCTAACCCCTAAACCTAAACCCTAAACCCTCAACCCCTAAACCCCTAAAGCCCTAAACCCCAAGCCCCTAAACCCTAAACTCTCATTTTGGGCCAACCTGTTTCTGCCGCCGCAGAGACGGATCGCCGATGTTTCACAGAGCCCTCAAGTTTTCCCTAAACCCCAGAAAGTTGGAACATGGGTTTAGGATGATTTGTGCTAGGATTCCTGAAACTTTAAGGGCATGAGGACTATAATGTTCCAACTTTATGGCTTCTACTATAAATAGTAGCGCACACAAGCCAGACCCAAAGAGCACAATAGCTCTTTATTAGAAGATGCGCCTTTGGTATAACCGACCAAAGGACATTGGGCACTTCTGTAGACTGTGGACAAGTACCAGATCTGGATTCAGGTTTAACCTGTCTGGCTCCCATGACCCTGAGCTGCAACAGCAGCACCCCCCCCAACCCTGAAAACCCTACAGCTGTCCTTTCAGGCCTTTTTTCAAAACCTTGGCAGTTTTTTCAGGTGTCCGTTAAAAAACCAGCTGAAAGCTCTAGAGAATCCCATATGAAACGGTATAAACCTCAGAAAACACTATTACTAGGAGCCCAGTCGGACCCTTTTATCGTGTGTTTTTTGGGGGTCTCTGTATTAAAAACTGAAGAGTAGGAAAAGCCAGGAAAAGGTACCCGCGTTTGTTGAGGGGCTACTGGGGAACCTTGCAAAACACGATTAGCTGGTAGGGATCTATCGTAGGTAACTGGGATCTACCCTAAACCCCTAAACCCTTAAACCCCTAAACCCTAAACCCTAAACCCTAAACCCTAGACCCTAGACCCTAAACCCTAAAACCCTAAAGCCCTAAACCTAAAACCCTTGTTAGTCGCGAGAAAACCTCGGAGCTCCTCCAGACTGGAGGCCAGCGCCGCCGGGGAACCGGATCGTCTGTCAGGCCATGCGCAGGGCTTCATGGGAGTTTCAGAAAATTCAGGTACCCTATTTTGGGGTCCTTATAATAAGGATCCTACTATTTAGGGTACTATATTAGGGTCCCCCATTTTCTAAAAGCCCCTCATAGTAACATTCACAGGGTTTAGGGTTTAGAGATTAGGGGCCTTAATAACTAGAACAGGGTTTTGGGGGCTCCTTGTTACAATCATAGTTGTTTCTATTCCAAACCCTTGTTCTAATTATTAAGGCCCTCAGAGTAGGGTTTAGAGTTCATTTAGGGGGCCGAAGGTTTCACAGGTTGCTTGGGCTTTGCAGGTGGAGGGCTGTGGTGCTTTAGAGGGTCCCTGAGGCTTTTTCCATAGGAGTCTGCATAGCATTCCCTAAACCCTAAAGCCAAAACCCTAAACCCTAAACCCTAAACCCTAACCCTAATTCCCAGTGTAGACTTCGGTGAGGGTTGTGGTTTCTTCGAGCCACGGATTGGGGTCGCAATCCTCAGGCCTCAGATTTCTAGGCTCTTGTGGACACAACTGTTTGCATAGAACTAAACCCCGAACCCTAAAGCCTAACCCCTTAAAGGAACCTAAGAAGGAACCCTTGAAGGAATCTAAAAAGGAACCCTTAAAAAGAGCCCTAAGCCCTGAACTTTCAAAGCCAGGCCACCGACTGCGGTACATGGCTCAATCCTTCGATGCTGACGAGGCAACCTCTTTAGAAACCCCCCCTGCAAGGGGCGGTTTAGGGTTTAGGATTGAGGGGTTCTCTTTTTAAGGGTAATGTAGGGTTTCTATAATGAATAGGGCTCTAGAGTTTAGAGTCTACTTAAAGCTTCATGCGACTTAGTAACTGGGGTTATAAATCAGGTAACTATGGTTATAGTTACTTGTAGCCCCAGTTAAGGTACTTAATAGCTGTGCTTACTAGGTCCCATGCACCTCCAAGTAGGGTTTCGGGTTTTAAAATGTAGTGAGCCGTGAAATACGCTTTATTGTCGTCTTAGCAACCTATACAACCATCTTTATAGGAGGAGTTTAGGAGGTTACAAGAGTGATTTTGCTTGGTGGTGCAGCCTTCGAGACGGTATAAATGCAACACTTTAGACACAGGGCGGCCTTGAATGTTAGAGTGTAAACCTTAAATCTTTAAGTCACTCTACACTCAAAGCCTAAACCCTGAACTCTAAACCGTAAACCCTTAACCCTAAACCTTACATCACTCTGAATATCTTAATTAATCCCCAACCTCGAAACCCGCTGACCTTTGACCCCAAGCCGGGCTCATGAACTAAAGCTCTGGGAACGTTCTGAAAAGGGCGACTCTTGCTGGGGTTTAGGGTTGTAGGGTTTTAGGGTTTAGACTTAGGGTGGCTGGCGACATCTACATTGGAGGGGGCCAAGAAGCATTGCTGGGCTTGCACGGGGAATTCAAGACCTCCTCTAGACGGATTTGATGGCGCCATCTACTGGGTTTACGAGGCTCAGTCTTGACTCAAGGCTCGAGTGAGTTAAGTGTCTCGATGCCCGCTTTTCGAAAAAAAGTTTCCATTCCAGCAGCACCCCGCGTCAGCAATCCGACTCTGACGTGTCGCCCTAACCGTATCCTCGTGCTCACCTGACAAAGACGAGAGTGGGACGACAGGAATGCAATCAGAAAGCACTCTCATGAGCAACTGCATAATGTAACCTCATTTGAGCTGCGTTTTTTTTATCCGCTACTTACGGAAGATTAAAGTTGGACACAAAACTATCACTTGATTTCGAAATCTTGCTGGGACTGTGCGCGCGGAAGGACGCGGAAGGGCTGCGGAAGGCGTTGCGCCGCGGAAGGGCGCGGAAGCACCAAATACGTAAGTCGCCGCGACCAAAGCAGACATGTCTCGACCGAAACATACAATAGTGTTTGAACCAGCTAATGTTGTACTCTTCCAGGGTACTACTACTCCTACCGTTACTACTACTACTACTACTGCTACTGCTACTCCTACAACTACTATTATTATTATCAGTACTAGCACGAGTACTAGTACTAGTACTAGTAATAATACTAGTACCTAACGTAATACGTCAAGTGGGGTTTTTGCTCCTGCGGAAGGGTTCGCTCGCAAAACAGTCCGCGGAAGGGCACGCGGAAGGGACGACATGAAGTGACTCAGAAACGTGCCAACGCTTCGAGGCGCGGAAGGCTGCGGAAGCAGTGGCGGAAGGGTTTTGCGGAAGGGATTTTTGCGTCCTTAGGTTTGAAACAGAATAAAAAGCACCGCTCATTTGCTGTCTGTTTTCACATGCTAAGATAGCGTCACAACTGCGCAAAGTCGTTCCTCTCTTGCAGGATAAGAGTGCCACAACCAGCGAAGCCCAGAAGCGACATCCATCGCATCAGGCACGTGGCGTGGTGCGACTTGCCAAAGCTCAAGGCTCTCGTTTCGTATTGGTCGCGATGACGCTTGCTTGCATCAATTCTGTAGTTTCGGGGTTTATATGGGGTTTAGGGTCTAGGGTTTATGAGGGCTTGAGAGACAAGTTTTGACTTTGACTTGTATGCAGCCATCGAGACACGAATCACCAATCTTAAACCCTAAACTCCATGCTCTATAGTTAAACAGTTAAACCTCTCATTTATCACCTACGAAAGTGCGTGCCATTCGGATGTTCGACTTGGGGGTTAGTTTCAGAAACCCTAAATCCTAGGTTCACGCCTCAAACCCTGAACAGGAAGTTCGCGGCAGGCATCGTTGCTCTCCGTGTTGCTCTCTGGTTTGCAGCTAGTCATCTGTTTAGGGTTTAGGGAGGACGCCCTTCGGCATCCTTCGGCAGCTAGAAGACGGGCGGGGCGCATCCACGTTTTGTTATGAGCTCAGGCGGTATGCCATTGTCTTGGCCACCCCTATATAAGACCTAAACCCTACACCCTAAACCGTCAAGCCATGAGGCAGCCCCTAGATTTGTACAGCCGCGCCGGCTAGGACCGATCCGCCTTGCAACGGTGGGCCCCGCTAGGAAGACAGGTTTCGTCGCCGAGGCCTGCGGGACGTCCGAGCGCTACGCGGCGAAGCTCTTACGGCAGTATGCCGAGACATTGCGACGCTTCATCGATCTCTTGCCGTGGACTGACGGACGGATCGAGCTGTCACTCCATTGGAGCTTGTTGCAGAGCCTCCAGAAGATGTCAGATTTAGTGCAAGATGTCATTGGCAACCTTGCCAGTCGCCCCGCAAGTGCCTGAGAGGCAATCAACCTTCTGGCAGCACTTCAGACTAGTGGTGAGTAGATAGCCTTTAGCCTTCTTGGGGGTACTGAACTGTTATTATAACCCCGATATACTGGCAGAGTTTAACCTTTAGTTCCCCTAGGATACTGGACAAGTAAGTCATATTGCTCTTGGCACGATTGGGGTCTTTCCTGCAAAACTTCCGCTAGTGGGCGCTGAGATTGTGGTCCCATCTTCCACAATGCCATGGACTCTTGCGGCCTCCTATTCTAGTTATTAAGGCCGCTGTATTGTTATGTTTCGGTATCGGGTCCAAGGTAAGGTGTCTCCTCTGCTTAGGTCTCCCGGATGGTCCACGAACGTCGAGGTCTTTCCGAAAAGAGGGACCCCAATATAGCACCCTAAATAGTAGGAGCCTTGTTATGAGGACCCCCAAATTAGGTACCCCCTTATTTTCGGAAACTCCCATGTAGCTCCTATAATTAGTGGTATCAACCCGTGGTAGTCCCCATAGAGTTATATAGTTACATGCCCGAAACCCTCGTCCAACCAGTAAGGCCTATTCAAAACCAAACCGGGATATCCCCTGCAACCTTCATGAAGCCTCGTTCAACACACCATTTTACTAAATCCTAAACCCTAAACCCTAAACCCTAGACCCTACGCCCTAAGCCCTCAAACCCAAGTGCTCATTGGAAGCAGACCGAGGGTGAAGCATCTCGGCGGATTGCTTCTCGTTTTGGAGGAGGAAGGCGCTTCTTTGGGTGTTGGGTTGTAGGGTTTAGGGTTTAGGGTTTGGGGTTTAGGGTTTAGGGTGCACTTCTGAGGCACATGCTGCGGTTCAGCAGGCTACCGTCGTGGCGATGAATACAATCCCATTGTGTGTCCTACTCGGGCCGTTCGTGGTCTATGGTGGTTTTCGTCGTCTCGGCGGTGGCGTTGCCTGTAGTGCTCGTGCTTGTCATGCAGCTCCTGGTGGTCCTGTTGGTCCTGGTCGTCTTGGTCGTCGTCGTCGTCTAGGTCGCCCAGGCGTCGTTGTCGTCGTGGACTTGGTGATGGTCGTGATGGTCGTAGTCGCGGTGGAGTTCTCTTTTGGGGTTCACGTGGTGCAAGCCGTTGGCATAGTATCAGGGGTTGGGTGAGTGTATATAATGCCTTAAATGCTTGGTGCGTGTGTGTGTGTGTACAGTTTGGCGGCATAATGCGGGCACTAGGAGTAAAAGCTCGGCACTAAGTACAGCCAATTCGGACTCAGACTTAGACTTGCGAAACCCTTAAAACTTAAGAGACCCCTTGGGGGTCCCCCCTTTTCTGAAAACCACAGCTCGAAAACCACATGCTGCGGAGATAATGCCAAAACGCAAGCACAAACCACCCGCAAGCTGCAAGAACTGCCAAGACATAGCTCGCAGGTTCATGAGCACCTACAAACTTAGCTAGACATGCAAGCGCACCTGCCTGCCTGCCTGCCTGCCTGCCTGCCTGCCTGCCTACCTACCTACCTACCTACCTACCTACCTACCTACCTACCTAGATACATACATAGATATGTGTTGTACAAAGATGTGTACTATACTATACTATACTATCCTATACTATACTATACTATACTGTACTATACTAGACTCCACTAGACTATACTATATACTATACTATACAAGACTATACTATATACTGTACTATGCGATACTATACTATACATACGTACATACATGCATGCATGCCTCGGTGCATACATGCATACATGCGTACATGGATAGATCGTTAGATGGACAGATAGATCGATAGATAGATAGAGAAATAGACAGACAGATAGATAGATAGACAGAGAAATAGATAGATAGATAGATAGATAGATAGATAGATAGATGCATGGATGAATTGAGTAGGTTAGAGTAGAGTAGGTTAGACTGCTAGATAGATAGACAGATAGATAGATAGATAACAAGATAGATAGGTAGATAGATAGATAGATAGATAGGTCGATCGATAGATAGGTAGATAGATGGGCAGATAATCAGATAGATAGACGGATAGATAGGTAGACGGAGCCATATTCAGTTCGAACCAATCAAACCTAAGGTTTCTCAACTTGACGGAAGAAACATTCGAAGCGGACTTCCTGTTCGAGTTTATGCATAATGGCTCATAATGTCCCGATTCAGGGCTTAGGGCTTAGGGAGCCGTTCTGCTACAATGCAAATCCTAAGCCCGAGCTTAGCAACCCAAACCCAAACCCCACGCCAAATTCAACAATAGATGACCTACCCTAACCCTAAACCCTATATCAAGGCTCGAATTTGCTCTACTTGCTAAAGAAACTGAACACATCCAACCCTACCTTAACCTACCAAAACCTACTTTCTGGTAGGTTCTTATTATAAACCCTAATATGGGATTCATAGGGACCCTACAAAAAAGTAGGTTTTGGCGGATTAATGTAAATCCTAAACCGTATGCAACCCCAAACCCAAGTTGAGAACGCTAGAGTTATCCCAAAACCATCTGAAGCCCTACCGAACCCCTTTCAAAACAAACCGTGGAGCCTCGTAAAGCTCCTTCAATCTTCTCTAAAACATTGCAAAATGTTTGGGGTTTAGGGTTTAGGGACCTAAACCCTAAACCCTAAACCCTAAACCGCCTAAAAGCGGCAGGCATGCTGGGCCCCGACTGGCAGATCTTGGGTTCGGAGTACGTCGGGGATCTGATGCCGGAGGACGCTTCTAGGGGGGCCCTTGAAGTGCGTTGGCTTTAAGGATTCCTTTAGGGGATCTTTTAGCCCTAAACCCTAAACCCTAAACCCTAAACCCTAAACCCTAAACCCTAAACCCTAAACCGTTCCTTTAGAGGTTCTTTTCGAGGTTCGGGTTCCCTAAAGGGTTCCTTTCAGGTTTCCTTTAAGGGTTTCCTTTAAGGGTTCCTTTAGGGATTTACGGATTTGGGATTCTTCGTAGGTTCCTTTTGAGGACGTGGGGTCTAAGGGTTAAGGGCTTGGGTTTAGGTTCCTTTAAGGGTTTAGGGTTCCTTTACGGGTTGAGGGTTCAGCGTTCCTTTAAGGGACTTCAAGGGTTGTAGGGCTCAGGATCTTTGGTCTTCCTTTTAGGGTTCCTTGAAGGTTTAGGGTTTAGGGTTTAGGGTTTAGGGTTTAGGGTTTAGGGTTTAGGGTTTAGTGTGGTTTAGGATTCCTTTTCACCCTAAACCCTAAACCCTAAACCCTGAACCCAAAATTAAAGGTTACCTTAGGAAGATCATTGAAGCGGTTAAGATGACAGGGTGTTAGGGTTTAAGGGTTTAGGGGTTTCGGGGTTTGTAGGGTTTAGGGTTTAGGGGTTTATAGGGTTTAGGGGTTTAGGGTTTAGGGCTCCTTGAAGATTATTTAAGAGATCATCTTAGGGTTCTACAAGGCATTCGCAGAGGTTTTAGGGTTCTAGGGTGCTGGGTTTGGCGTTCAAGGCTTTGGGTTTATCGGTTTAAAGTTCCTTAAGTTCCTTTCAGGGTTTTAACCAGGGATCTACAAGGGTTCAGGGCGTCAGGGTTTCAAGGTTGCAGGTCTTTGGATTTAGGATTCTGTGCCGCTGTATCTAGGTTCCCCAGTAGTGCTCTTTTGCCGTTTTCCTTTCTCGGTTCCCTTGTGAAAACCGATCTGTAGGAAAAAGGGTGCCCTTACTATTAGGGGGCTACTGGGGAACCTAGGTATAATGATATACAAGCCTAAATAACTGCCAAAACTATTGTGGGGGCTCCTTATTAAAAACATAGTACAATATACCTCAAAACCCTATTCTCATTATTAAGGCCCCTACATTACACTAACACAGGGTGCATTAGGAACCCGGCCCGATCTCGGAAGGACTTCCCGGTGGGCTACATGCGCATGAACCCGGCCGACAACGGTCCGAAACTGGACGACTTCACAGGCGCGCTGCGGTGGTGGGGTCGGACGTGAGTCGTTTTCTTGAGGTTGCGGCATATCCCTGAATCTTCGACGTCTGAAGCCACAATCAACATCTCTAACCCAAAAGCCTGAGAAAGAACCCCGCGCACTGAACCCTACTTCCAAACTGCACCCTGATTTGGGTGTAAACCCGAAATCCTAGTTCTATAAAGTTCTATAGAGTTCCCGTTTTTAAGGGTATTTTAGGGGGGGTTCTGTTCGGTTTTATATAGGGCTAGGGGCCATAATATATAATTAAAACAGGTCTTGCGGGTCTGTTTGAGTATAGTCACAGTCATGAACCCAATTGGTAGTTGATGGGTTTGTGGTTGTTCTTAAGGCCCCAAGCTTCAATCCAACGGCCCTGAAAGCTTTAGGGTTGAGCCCTGTGAAACAAGGTATTAGGGTGTAGGGTTTAGGGTGTTTCTCAAGTGCTGCTTCCCAGCTGATTGGCAGAGTCTGGGTTCAAAAAGGGTGTTTCTCAAACTTGCTTGCATCCAACAGGAGCAACGCAGAGATATTCAGATTGAGAACAACCCCAAGCTCATCAGAGCAATTGCCGGAGACATCCTTTGAGCTCTGCACACCCACACAGTCTGAGGGGACAGCGCCAAGCCCCAAACCTCGAAACACAAGGGGGTTTAGGGTTTAGGGTTTAGGGTTTAGGGTTTAGGGTTTAGGATTCAACCCCAAACCCTAAACCGGTTTTGGGGCTAGCCCCCAATGCAGTCATGGCATAGGGCCAGGGGGTACCAGACAACATTGATAATTGTCCAGGCGCCCCTGAACCCTAAACACTTAAAACCTGTAAGCCTGAAACTACGGTTTATGCTATAAATCCTGCATCGGCCATAATAATATAATGAATATGGAATGATTCCCATGGTTTAGGGTCCTTAAGGAAATGCAGGATTTGAATCATCAACAGTATTTGTAGACTCAACTTTGCGGTTTTGCTTGCATAAACCACAAGTCCTGAAGACCCTAAACCGTAGGCTCTAGACGAGTCCTCGTAGACCCTATAAAGCCAAAGCCATACAGCCTAAACCACTCTAAAACCTAAAATCCTAATCCCTAAACCCTAAACCCTAAACCGTAATCCCTGAAACTCTCAACCCTAAACCCTTATCCCTGAAACTCTAAACCAGACTTCTGGTCTCAGCTGACCCGAGAGGATGCGTCCTGGCAGTCATTGGATTTAGTAAATTCAGGGGGCCCGCTTAGGGTTTCGATAGGGTTATTTGAGAGTTTCCGAAAATTAGGGGTACCTTCTTTTGGGGTCCTATAATAGGGATCCTATTATTTAGGGTACTATATTAGGGTCCCCTATTTTCGGAAACCCCCATTTTTCAATGGGCTCAGAATGCATAGGTTTACTATACATAAAAGGTTCTGTAGAGGCTGTTTCAGAGATACTCTACGGGTTCCATTGTAGATGTACGATTAGGGTTGAGGGTCGGGGTGCCGGGTTTCGGGGCCTGAGATTTGGATTTCGAGGTTGACGCTTCAGGGTGAAGGCCAGTCGCTAGAGTGTGCTTGGAGCTTTAGCAAGACCCGAAAAGACGACATATCTAAACCCTAAAACCAAAAACCTGAACCCGTAAAACCCTAAACCCAAGACCCTGCATCCTAAACTCCGGAACGGAAGCCCGCAGCCCTCGCTCCCGGGGTCTGAAATATGCACGTAGAACAGTTCTGAAGAGCTTGTAGCGAGTAATATAGGGGCCTCAATAATTGGAATAGGGTTTAGGGTTTAGGGGTTTGGGTTTTGGGGTTTAGGGTAATGTAGGGGCCTTAAGAACTAGAATATGGTTTTGGGGGCTCCTTATTATAATTATAGTATACGGGGCCCCAAAACCCTATTGCCCCTACATTGGCCATAGAGTAGGGTGCAAGGCTCAGTGTAAGGTACCCAGAGCCACTGAGAGCACATATTTGCCACTGGAAAACCCTACTATTTGGTTACTTGGACCTCAGGGTAATGGTAATTCCTTTTTCAGTTTTCATGTGCTTTAGAATGAAGGGTTTCGTAGGGGCTTATAAGAGTTTCAAACGGTTGAGCAACAATAATGTTCTTACCCCCTAAAGTCCTCATATAGCCATACTATGTTACAACATGAGAACCTTAATATATACGACGACCACCGAATTTTCCAGGCCCCTATATTTAACATAAACAGCGTTAAACGTTAAACCCTTATGAACACCCAAGGTAACCCCACTAGTTGCCATCCCGTACCAGATCTCAGGTCCTTGCAAAATCCCTTGGAGCTTTCGGGTTTAGGGGTTGATTTTAGGGTCTGAATGGCCGGGCGAGCTCCAATCAATCCTGTGTAACAAGGATCTGGATGGAGTTCAGGGCTTTAAGGTTGAGGGGGTTAGGCTATCGGGTTGTTGGTGTTTGGGTTTGCTAGGGCTTGGGGGTAGACTATATTCGAACTATAGTCTAATCGTGGAAACTCCCCGAAGAATGGTCAGGCCCACAGAGATGGGTTAGGGGGTCCCTCTTTAAGACTTGTGGGACTTGGGTTCACAAATGAATAGCCCGTCAAGACTTTACCCTGCACCCGAATCCTAAACCCCGAACCCTCCACCATACACCTGAATGAACCCACACTTGAAACCCAAACTGCACCTTTGTACTGCCGTTCACAGCAATAGAACCCTGGCAAATACAAAGCCCTGAACTCCAGATCCCCCAAAACTACGAATTCCGTTCCTTCGGGTTGCTGCGAAATAAATGTATTATAGCATACCTCATAACACTATTCTAACTTCTGAGGCCCATGGTAGTCGATCTTCATAACAGATACCAGGGGGGCAGATAGCAAATACCAGATAGCAAAAAACCCTAGACCCTAAGCCCTAAGCCCTAAACCCTAAACCCCTAAACCTCTAAACCCGTAGCCCTTGAAGGAACCCTAGAAGGAACCTTTTAATCTAGAAAGAACCTTCTAAACCAACAAGCCATAAGCCCTTGAACCTTAAAATCTATAAGGGGCATTACAGGAACTTGTTAACCCCTAAAAACTAAAAGGACACAGTAAGGGAACCCTAAACCCTTCAAGGCACCTAGAAACGAACCTAAACCCTAAACCCCTGAGGCGTAAGCGCTCAAAGGAACCTAAAAGGAACCCTAAACCCCATAAGCCCTAAACCCCTAAAGGAATTATACAGGAACCCGTAAACGAACCTGTAAGTCCCTTCAAGGTTTTAAAGAAACCCTTAGAGGAACCCCTATTAAAGGAACCCTCCAGTCCCTCTAACCAAGAGTTTAGGGTTGAGGGTTTAGGGTTTAAGAGGGTCCATATATATACTACCGTTACGGAATTAGAGCCCCAAAGCCGTACGAAAGATGGTCTTTTGGGACTTAGTTCCATGATGGTAATATGTATAGTATAAGGGAGCCCTAAACCCTAAGCCCCAAAACCATAAACCCCAAACACCCCAAAACCCTGAACCCGAAACCCTAATCCCTAAAACCCTAAACCCTAAAACCCTAAACCCTAAACCCTAAACCCCAAAAACCCAAAAACCCCTAAACCCCTAAACCCCTAAACCCCTAAACCCCTAAACCCCTAAACCCTAAACCCTGAACCCTGCCAGTCCCTTTAAAGGGAGCCCTGAATCTCAGGTCGTCGGCCCAACAGCGCAGGCGCGATGCAAGAAAAATAAGGGATACTTTTTTTTTTAATGGGGTTTACGGTTTTTGGGTTTAGGGTTTAGGGTTTAGGGTTTGGGTTTATAATATGGATCCTACTATTTATTTAAGGTACTATACTAGGGTCCCCTATTTTCGGAACCCCCCCATTTCTACATCAGGCCCGGTACAAGCTGGCGAGCTTGAAGATCCCCCTCGAGGCACCACAAGGGGGTTTAGGGTTCTGGGATGAGGGTTTTGGTGTTGAGGGCTTGGCGTTTAAGGTTTAGGGTTTAGGGTTTATGGTTGAGGGTTTGGGGTTTAGGGTTGAGGGTTGAGGCTTTAGGGTTTAGGGTTGAGGGTTTGGGGTTTAGGATCGAGGGTTTAGGGTTTAGGGTTGAGGGTTTAGGGTTTTGGGTTTAGGTTGAGGGTTGAGGGGTTAGGGTTGAGGGTTTACTTTAAGGGTTGAGGGTTTAGGGTTCTTTTTGAGGGTTTAGGGTTTAGGGTTCTCTTTAAAGGCTCTTTCGGGTTTTGGGTTTGTTAGGCTTGAGCCTTCTTTCTCAGTGTCTTTGGGGTCCTATGTTTTGAAGGGTTTAGGGCTTAGGGTTTAGGGTTCCCTTTGAGGGTTTCCTGTTCAGCTAGGGTTTACGGTCTTGAAGTTTTTTCTACCGGTTTAGCCCGGCTGCAGGGTTTTAGCATCCTCGGGTTTCTGTAAGGGTTTCCATAAGGGCTCTGCAGGGTCTTATTTTTTAAGGGGCCGGGTGAGGTGAATCTCGGGCTTGGGGGGTGTTTAGCGTTTAGGGTCTGGGTTGCCTGCCAGGGTTTCGGTTTCAGGGTTTTCGTTTTTGTAAGGCTAAAATCTTAAGGGCTAAGGGATTAGGCTTTGGGTTTTCCGTCAGGGTTTACATTTGCGGGTAGACGTCTACGGTTGAGGGTTTTAAGGGTTCTCTCATAGGATTCGGGGTCTGGTTTAGGAATATGTAGGGGCCTAAATAATTACCGATACTATTTCAGGGGTTCCTTCTTATAATTATAGTATAATGGGCTGCCCTCACTGGAAAGTACTAATGTTGGGCGGCGAAGCTCAGACGCTTTGGGCAAGGCACACACGGCACAAACTCGTGCCTGGTGCCGCGAACCAGGACTTAGGCATTCGATACGCAGAACGGGTTTACCAGTCCCATGCGTATATACTGTGCAGTGCAACTGCAGCCACTGTGCTCTTAGACAAGCTTCACAAAGCCAAAATGGTCGCTGATGGAGCGTTGGCATCGACGCAGTTGCACTTCTTGAAGCAATGCTTTTACATGGATCCCCAGCCAATGCCTCAGGGAAACTTCGGGAGCTCCTTGGTAACGACAGAGGCATCTCC